ACACATACACACACACACACACACACAGGCACCCACACCACACGCATTCACACACACACACACAACTCACGAGACACAACATGCGCAATTTGTTTGTTCGCATCGTGGCTGAGGCAGATGTTCTCTCAATGTGGTATCTCTGCACAGTATCTCTGTACAGTCTCGGCATTACCCCGCCTGACGACAAGTTGAACCCCAACGGCCAGCGCATGGACAGCTATTGTGTGACGTCAGTGACTATTTGGTCGACGTCATTGTCGCCCGCCCCTGCCGCCCTGACAACTCCCCCATCTCCTTCGAATTCCACCGGACAGTCAATCGGCGTAGCCCACAGCTTCCAGGTGGCAAGGCGGCTCAGCTTGCGGGGAAAGACAAGATTGACAAGTATGGACCAATCACCCAAGCAGCCGGCTTCCGCTTCGTGCCTCTCGCTGCGGAGGCATTCGGCAGATGGGGAGACAAGACAATGGATTTTCTCAAGATGCTCGCCAAGCGAAAGCCTCGCCCCACATCCATTCCCACGGAGGAGGACACATTTTCCGAGAGAGCGTCGTCAACCATTGAAGCCAGCTTCTGTCCATCGAGCTGATGAAGCACAACGCCTTCCAAGTGGCGAGTCGTGCACAGCGCGCGCCTGGTGAGGGCCAGTGCGTTTTCGGAGGACTTCGTCAGCCGCGGGCCATACAAGCCACACACCAGCCCCGCTCCGGGGCTGTGAGATGGCTGGCTGGACTTGGATTTCGTGGATGTGTGTGTTGTGTTACATGTCTCGCGCTTGTTTGCAGTGTGCGACATGTTTTCGCCTCAACGAACGTTGTCCATTGTTTTGTTTGTTGTTTTTTTTTTGCATGCATTGTTCCGGTTTCCTTGCTTGATACGACTGATGCTCAGACGAACTTCGTCGCCCGTTCATGTATCTACTTAAAACAATGTACCACACAACTATATGGGCGGGCGCATAAGCGACCAGGCAAGAATTAGGAGCAAAGAAACACGCCCTGGCAGAACCATGCAGGCAAACTGAGAAAGGAGACGGGTAGAGACGGGCCATGTACGGGCCTGGCATGCAGACCAGCGGGCATCCGGAAGTCCACACCCCTTGTTGTCTCATCTCTATTTATCGTACATGTACACATTTTGTGTTAGCAAAACCCCGCCTCTATCATCACGCCCTCTCATTTAGCGACGTTATCCGCCCGAGTATGATCATGCGCAGCACCCGTCAACGACCCAAGGCTAGTACATAGGTTGATCGCGCATGGTTGGTGAAGCGTGCAACTTGTTGAGACAGAGAGGACACATGTGACTTCAGCTTGAATGTGAACAATGAATGTCAGGCTGGAGGGGAGGAGGGTTGGTTATTTTCCTGACAGCCTATCTGGGTTGGTTATTTTCCTGACACACAGGTGTCATATTGCGAAAGCCTAAGTGAGGTGGGGTTCGCGACTGAACGGCAGAAGTCTTGTCCTTGTGCTCTGCCTGTGTGCCGCGTGCAGATAATCCACGCGGAAAATCTCTTCGCTGTCTTCCTCGTGAGACACGTGTGTCTGTCAGCTTATTTGCCTGCAGCCACCTTTGGCGAAAGCCACACTCGAATGCGTCTGATGCCCTCTGACCGAGCACTCTCGTAGCTTGCCGCCTGTCGCGAGCATCAAAATGATCCGTAGTGACCTTGAGTGAACAACGAACAACAATCGCATTTCGTGTCCTCTCCGCGACAAGAGGCTGTTCCCTTAACACACTCATAACCTTCCCCTGCGTCTCTCCCCAGGGGCGTGCATGTCAAAAGCCATGCAAGAACGACGTCAGAACATGGTCATTCTTCGCTACGCGATTCATCATGTCATCTATCCTGTTCTTCTGGTGCGAGATCTCTTCCTCCAGGGCGGCAATGTCCTGCTCCAACGGACCAAGAGAATCTTCTGTCTCCCTGCAGCAGTAAGACACCCAAGCAACATCCGTGTACCCCCAGTCGTGCTCTCAGGCAGGAATCCTTTCCGACCTGATTTGCAGCTGCAAGGCGGCTACCGATGCCCGCTTTTCATCCCTCCAGTGGCCTAGCTCGCCGCCCATTGTTGCTATATCTTGATGGACTAAGTCGACCGACTTGCCTGAAGTCATCATATATGTGCCAAAAGAGTGACCAGCCCCCAACAGCCTTGTTGTCTGTCCATGAACCGAGAGGATTTGCAGCTTGGCAGAGAGCCTGGAGGGTCATACGAAGCCCCTCTACCTGCACAGTCAAAACAGAGCGATGCGTCAAAACAGGAGTGGGAGAAGCATCGCCTGTGTGCTTGGATATTTCATATTCCCCCGTCTTCCTTACATCGTATGTCGCCCGGGCTGCATCCTTCTTTCGCTTCAACCTCCCCAGCTTTATGCCTACATGAAGCAGAAAATGCGGAAAAAGAGGGGGTTCTACTGTGTGTCGATCTACGGAGACCAGCATACAGGTATCGAGCATATTGCTTGTACCTTTGACAGTCCCTCCCATTTCACCTTCCCCCTGGGCAGTGGTTGCCTCAACCTTCACAGCGCCCTGTCAACCCAGAATCACGGCAAAGAAGGGCGCAAGTGATGCGTCCGTCCCTCTGTATGTGGACAGCCAGGTAAATGTCGTGCATGGTGTCCCTGACCTCCTGTCTAGTATCCAAGATGTCTTGCACAAGTCGCCCTGCAGTGCAGCCGCGTCCAGCGAGCAGCACACAACAAACAACAGGCAGTATCACTGACGTTATTGCTCCCTCTGAACCCATTGCTGTTAGTCAAGTGCGGTCACGCTGCAATATACCGTATTGTGTAGTGTCGTCTTTGTCCACTTTCAGCACCTGTCCCTGCGGCTGTCCTTCGACAAACATGTCATCGGCGGTTTCCTGACACTATTACACATCAGGCAGGCAGGGAGGCGACGAGGCACATCAATCTCACATTCATGGTGCCGTCCATCGGTGCATCATACCTCTCCCTCAGGACCTTCGCCGAGGATGTATGGTGACGAAGACCCCTGCCCCATACGAGCCACATCGACCGACTCGTCCCTTGCATCTCCTGGTCTCTCATGCTGAACCGCGAATTCCGCCTGTCGATCAACACGAGGGGGTCTCCAAAGGCGCGACACAAGAAGGACGGCAGAGCACAAGGATGGTATGCAGAAGAAGGTACGCACATACAGTTGGGTGCGGTTATGTCTCAGTGTTTCACACCGTCGGCCTGCAGTGCGCGGTCGGTCCAGCGCAGGGATATCTTTGTCCTTCGCCCCCGGATCCCAGGGGGCCACATCAAGGGGCTGCCTCGTGACGTCTTGCTCGTCGCCCTCTTTGCTTTGCACCTTACCTGACCACGAGGTGCACGCAACAAAACAGGAATGTGGCGCCAAGTCTGCGTGGGGGTTTGCGTACATGTTACCGAAGGCTCTGTGCGTCGTACCTGGCTGTGCGCGCAGCCGCAGCTCATTAGGTGCCACTTCTGCGGGCCCCACTGGCTCCTGAAGCAAAGAAGCGGACGAGCAACCAGCGCAGCTGTCCGGCTACTCTTTGGGTTACTGACTGACTTGAATGCCAGCGAGAAGGGGCGTGTTGTCAGGCGACATGGGTGCCTCAAGTGCTGCAAGGGATACAGCCACAAGGAAAGAAGCGCAACCAACTTGTGCAACCCAGGACGTAAGAGCGAGCGAGCAGTCGCATCCTTTGTGTGCTTTCGTACGTTCATGTTGATGGTTTGACGGGCCTGCATTCCCGTCAATGATGCCTGCGGTCCTACTCTGGCATCCAACCCATGTTCAACCAGCATTAGACAAGACAGGCATCTCCGGGTGCATTAACAAGGTCGGAAGGGAGGCTCCTCCTTCCAGCCTCTTACCTTTGGGGTTTCAGCAGCCTTCTGCATATTTGCAGTCCCATATCGCGAGAGCACCTGTGGCCAGCAGAGACCATACGTCACGGTGCTGACTTGCCAAGAGCCACACATGCACGATACTGGATGTGGCCCTCCGTACCCTGCCTCCCTGCCTCCCTTCCGTTATATGTTCCTGGTGTATCTGCACATGTCGATGGCCCCCTTTACCATTTGTACGGCGAGATCCGAACGCTCCACGGCTGATGTTGCTGCCTGGGCCAACAAGGACAGGCTACTCAACCAGCCCCTGCCCGTATCATACCTTGAGCGCTGCTTACCTGATGTAGCTGCACGAGGAACCTGTTCGTCTTTTCCGCTTCTAGCCCCGCGACTGACCGATCAAGCGAACAGCAACGCCAAAGCAGGAAACCATACCCATACAAGTCAACCTCTGTTCGTCTGTCTATGTCCAGCGTGATCATGCTGGCTGATTGCCGACGGTCGTGGCCACCTATTTTATTTGGGGAGACTGCCACAGGCTCATTGATTGCAATAGAGACGCACTCGATTATCTTGGTAAGGAAAGACACCTTCCCTGTCTTGTCCTTGACCAACAAGCAGAAAGTCACTCGCCCACCCACCCATGGACTGCCGCTCTTGCCTCCCTGACTGTTCATCGTACCGTGATGTGTTCGGAGTTTTTTTCGTGCTGGTCGAAGAGTCCCTTCGCGAACCCCGTGGTCCGGATGACCTCCGTCACGATGTCGTGAAGGAAACGGAAGGGAGGCTTCACTAGGTACTTTGGGGTCAGCTTGGGGCGGGAAATCAAACTTCCTGAAGTCACACACACACAATCCCTCTGGCGCTTCCCTGCATGCATAGAGGTGAAGGAAGTGTGATGTGCCAACCGAGCGTCTGCTGTGTCAACACCGCAAAGTCATCCATGTTTCTGCACTTCTTTGACGAGGGCAACTCGCAGCGCCGGGGTTAGGGAGAGGTGTCTCTTAAACCCTAACCGGGAATGGTAGGTGAGTGGATGGAGGAGAAACGCTGACGGTGAGCCGGCGGACCTATTAGAAGGTTGGTCGAGTTTTTGTCCCTCAGGTGTCTCAAAAGTTTCAAGGCGCGGCCCAGAGCAGGACTTCTGGAGTCGATGCGAGCGGTTTCTCTGGTGAGGAGTCGTGACGCTCTGGCGCTTCTTGTCCGCTTCCCGGTGTTCGATGGGTCTGATTCCCGGTGGAAGGGTAGATGGGGTCTTGAGTGCTACCCTATGCCGTCCTGGCGTGATCCCCTATGTGGAGGTTGTGCTGCATGGAAGGCACCGCTCAAGCCGTGGTCATCCACTGAATCCCGCGGCCGCAATAACTCTCATGAGAATGTGGGGTTGCGCTGGCTCGAGTTGGCCCACAGGACATCCGGTCGCAGCAAGAAAAACATGCTGGCACGGAGGAAAGCAAGGAGGAGGATGGGGGAGCGGGTCAGTATGCGAGTAAGATGAAACAAACTTGTGCAGTGAGGCGCTGCGATGTCGCTGCGATGTTTATTCTCGAAGTGCTGGTATCTATATTCATTTTCGCGGAATGCGTCAGCATCAATCCTTCATCTTGTTGTGCACCTACCCACTCGGATTCCCCGTCGGACGAGTGAGTGTCTCCATTGGAGTGTCTCTACTTCGGATTCGGTCGGAGACGTGGAATCAAGTGAAATGCGCCCTCTGACAATCTTGAACCATCTGTTTTGCTGGATCTACTCGCAGACAGCATCCGGGGAGCTATTTCTTTAGGCAGCATTGGGGAGCTATTTCTTGCTCGCAGTGGGGGCACATGTCGAACTGCAAGGAGAGCATAAAGAGCATAAAGAGCAGTGTGAGGCCGCAGATGCTTTGTTGTGGCCTCACACTGCTCAGAGTGGTTGGTGTCTCTGGATGGATCCCATGTCACGCGTTAAACTAACAGCATGCACAGGAGCATGGACACGGCCTGTCTACCGATCCTACCCACCCACCCACCCACCCAACATGCACCTGCCATCCCATGACGGTCAGAAAAATCACTGTCACCACCGTGCACAGGGATCCCAAGATAACACCACCGGCCTGCACTCGTCTTGAGTCTGAGAGGTTCTCATGCTGTGACTTCATACTTGGTAGGAATTTGGAGTCAAAACAATCCTCAACCTAAGCAACCAACCAACCAACCTACCCCCCTTAATGACAGCAATGAATAAATACTGTGGTCTCCACTTGGGCGGCACAACTTCGAAAAAATCAATGCTTGTAGCATTTGGCGCCTCCCGTGTATAGACAGACAGCCTTGCCTTCTGCTCACAACGGACACGCCCCAACACAAAAGAAGAAAGCCTATCGGCAGGCGCCCCTCTGTCTCCTTGTCCGGGGACTTGTGCGAATCGACAGTGCCAACAATCAAGTGCGGGGCAACCCCACACAGGGAGAACACAGCTGAAAACATGTATTCGAGCGGCATACAGGATGGCTTGCTGTAAACGCTTGTGCTCTCCAGCAAATTAACCACCAGAGACGAGCACAATCGCGCGTCCAGTCGTCCGACCATAGTAAGCATGTACAGCCCCGCACGTAGCCTTTCTTTGATCGTCAAGCCCGATTCCTGAGACGAGCAGCCTTGAAGCACCGACACAGTATTGGTGACCAGCTGGTGTAGGTGATACCTATTCGCCGCCTCACCCGACGCCATAATAGCTGTCGAGCACTCGATAAGACACAGCAGTTTGTGCGCCACTTTTGCCGACCCGAAGTGAGGGGACCAGTTTATAAGGCAGCCGACAAGGGCATGATGGCAGTATCCTTTCATCTTCCGCCAGGCACAAAGCACTTGCAGTGCATCTTTGACGTCAACTGTAGGAGGCAGCCGACAGTAAAGGATGCTCCATGGTATGTCCTGGCGCCCACAGCCCGTATCAAGGCCCGCCGCATCGAGGAAAGCCCACGATAAAAGGTCAAATAGCTGTACGTCATAGCCCCACCGCAACTCGCCGATTCCATGGAAAAGAAGTGAGACATCACGAACAGAATACCTTCGCCGGCGTTGCTGCTGCGTTATGGCCATGTGGTCGGACTCGGCGAGCGCCGCGTGAACGATTCTGTGTACAGAGTGTCGCACGGCGTGCCGGAGCGATGTCGTCAATAGGCATGATGGTGTGTTGTGGGTGTAGGTGTGGTCGTCCTTGCCAGCCACAGCGCAAGCGTGGAGGATAAGGCTGAGGTCTTTGAGGCGGGCACACTGCGACACCTTGATGGGCAGGATGCCCGACGCAAGTTGCGAGAGGAAGGTGGCGAGGGCTCCCCTGGGATGCCTCCCTTTCACCACTGAATTAAGGGACACCGAAACGTCACTGGGGTGCATGCAAGGGAGGCGTCTGTGGAGGGTGGACAGAAGGACCTTCGAAAGCTCCCCATTCCAGATCTTCAGCGCCTCGGTGTCCAGTTGATGTTGAAGCTGCGAAATCCTCGTTATAAGAAACGGGAGGCGGTCATCGGGTACACGAACGAGCCATCTGGCAAGCTGAAATGCCTTAGAAACCTCAGATAACATCTCGTTCGAACAATCGAGTTCAGCTAGATGAGTAGACAGGTCGTGTGCATGCTCTTGTGCGTGCGCATGTTGCTAGCAGCCCCTCCGGGGTACAGACACGAGTCTCGTTGTTTTCTGACTGTGTGAGAGAGCAGGAAGAAGGCAAGCGGAAGATCAGTGTGGAATGGTTCACAGTGCGATCTTGCCTCGAGGATTTCCACCAGGAAGCGGGCATTGTCTCCGGATATTGTCCGCCAATTGGTCTAGTGCCCATTTGCGTCTTCAACGCGTTCGGCAGACAAAACGTTCAGAGAAAAGGAAAAACGGTAGCGGTGTTGTGTTGCTTGCAGTACTACAGACACGTCAATATGTCGAGAAGCTTCGTGTTTTTTGTGACGTTTGGATCAGTTACATTAAACTGATGTACCCTAAAGCGGCAAGTTATTGAAAAATGGCCGTCAGGCTGCTTCCTGAAACCGCTGCTGCTTGAAAAAGATCGCGCTTGCTTCGCGGAGAAAGTCAACGAACAAGGGTATCTCTGAGCGCGAACTTCTTAAAAGATGCACACGAAACGCGCCAGTTTGTGGTGGATGGGATGTTTCTCCTTTGTCCAGTCATGCAGCTGGTTGAGCTTGGTCTCTCTTGGGTGCCTTTTCGGAGGTCTCTCAGTGCCGCATCGACTTTGCCGAGCTTCTGGCGGTTAACGAAAGAGATCTCGCCGACTATCATGTAGTGGATATGCTTGCAAGACTCCTCTGTGCAAATACGGTCACCATCGACTGTCTGCTGCTTCCCCGCTTGGCGCCGCAGCCTCTTCTCGCCACTCTCGAAGTCATCGAAGAGGTGCAGGAGCGAATCGACTGTCGAGCCTTCGGTGTTATCTGCAGCCACACCGGTAAGTGCCGCCAGACACAGCCAATGTCTGCATTGCAGTTCAGCAAAAGAAGCCTTCACGGCCTTCATGACGGTCTTGCCGGTGCCGCCCTCGCCGGTCAGGCACATGCGCAATGGCGCGATGTATTTATTGTCCCTCAGGTCTTCGTAGTGGTTGAGCAAGTGGCTGCAGATGATTTGGAACGCCCGCATCTGCTCTTCGTTCAATTTGTAACGGCTCGCCCAGTGAACAGAGAACGTCCTGTCGTCGACCGTCTCAGGCGGCTTGAATGCGGACGCCGGCTGCGCCAGCAGTCGAGTGAGGCTGGCAGCATCCATCGAGTGACCACCGTGCGTAAAGAGATTCGACTCGAAGAGAAGCTACTCAGGAGGCTTGCTTCATCTGACGTGGCGCGGCTGTGGTCGATTTCATTTACCTTGTTGCGTTGCTGGTGCAGGTCATCGTTGGGCTGATCCTGGCGGTTCCCGTTTGATTGAGAAGCCGATTGATAGTCATCGAAGGCAGTCTTCAATAGCCCCTTCAACAGGCGCGCTAGATTGATACATGTCTATTGATATCATCGCTGGATATCGATAGGTTGGCATTCAATTGCATCCAGCGATGCATTGATATACTTGGCGAAGCACATCTTCACCACGGGCGCAGCAGGAGCGGCAACATGGGGGGTGTCTTGTGTTCTTGGTGCAGCCCTCTGAGTACCTGCATGCTATCGCCACGTCTGTCTTCGAGATGTGCACGTTTTTCAAGCTCCCGCCAGTGTTGTCTGCATGTTTTGAAACTCTCGCCATTGTTGCATGCGTCGGTGCGCTTCTCGCCAACACTCGTGCTGTGCACGTCTCTGTGATGCATAATTGATCCACCACTTCGCGCGCTGCTTTCGACCCCCGCCCAATTCGCGGCCCGGGGTGCCCACGCAGTGGGTGCCCCTTACTCGGAATTGGACAGCATGCGACCGTCTTCGGTTCACGGGGGCGGTCGCTCTTACACGAAATACGGCCGGCCGTGACAAGCGATGCTGTCCAGTCCGTCCTAGCTATGCCGCACAAGGTGCCTGATCCCTGGAACTGTATGTCAGTGACGCTCCTTTGCTTCATTCTAGTTGGCGCTGAATTGTCTGGCTGCTGGAGGCTGCCCTCGATTGCGAGTGGTCCAAGACGGCCGCCATTAACGCGCCGCTTTTCGTCATCAGCCTTTCAATCAGTTGTTGCGGATGTGGGTTCATCGGCGGCGAGTGGGAGGTCGGTTCCGGGGGAGATGGTGCGGCGTGGAGGCGGCGGGGGAGGCTACCAGTACTATGAAGGTAGGGGGGAAAAGACTCTTTCTTGTCTGATTCGTTCTGTCACGCGTCTGTGTGTGTGAAGGCGCCCGTCTTCCGCCCCCTCCCGACCTTCCATCGCTGCTTCTAAGCGAGCGGATCGTTTACCTTGGCCTGCCACTCGTCTCACAGGTGCGTAGTACACACCCGTCGTGCCCCGGCCGCACATGTGTGCGTGCAGGTGACAGAGCTGATAATAGCTCAGTTACTGTACCTCGAGTATGAATCGGCAGACAAACCCATCCTCATGTAACACACACGTACACCCATGAACACATAACACTACCTGGCTCGCCCAGACCATTCTACGACAACCGGACAGTCGATTTGGTTGTGTCTACCGTATGCGTCTGTGTCTCTCTGTGTCTGTCTGTGTGCTCTGAAGGTACATTAATTCGTCTGGCAATGAAGATGGTCGGGGGCGTCCCGTTGCTTTCGAGACCGAAGCTCTTGCGCTGGCTGACGTGATGAAGTAGGTCGGCACGGCATCTGGCAGGTTGATTGCGTGGAGGTGTGAGCGGGCCTGTGCGTTGTTGCAGTTATGTGAAGCCACCCGTGCACACGATATGTGTGGGACAAGCATTCGGCACAGCTGCAATGCTGCTTGCGAATGGGGAAAAGGGCTACAGGTACGTTCCAGCCCTCTGATGGATGGATGGATGCGTAGCTTTTACTGGTGCGATCTCTGCACGTTTTCCACCCGACCGAGTGCATGGCGTGGTCGTCCTGCATTGGGTATCAGGTATTCTCTCCCCAACTCCACCATTCTTCTGAAACAGCCAGTTGGCGGGACTCGCGGGCAAGCATCAGGTCCCTCACGACTAGTGTCGTCCAAACGGACCATTTCATTGCCCCACCTGGCTGCAGATATCGCTGCTGGGGCCAAGGAGGTGCTGTTCATGAGGAATCAGATGGTACAGATCATCTCTCAGGTTCGTGACTGCAGGTGCAAACTTTTGCGAAATCATACAGTGTGCAACGAATTGGCTTCAGAAGCGTCATATCTTGCTCTTTTGATTTTTTAGGCGTCGGGGAAGGGGTTCGACACGGTGATGCATGACCTGCAGAGGAGCAAGTACCTGACGGCCGAGGAGGCAAAAGCGTACGGCTTGATTGACCGTGTGCTGGACAGCAAGAAGGACCTCACCGTGCCGCCTCCCATGCCTATAGTGCAAGCGACGTAGGACAAGCGATGAGCTGAGCACCTCTCTGGACAGACAGTTGGGGACAGTCGTGTGAAGGGGCGTGAATGGGTGGGGAACGTCCACGAGTGTCGCAAGATGACGATACCATACGTCCATGTCACACCTCCACCGAATCATCCTTCTCATTCATCTGGTCTGGGCGGCCGTCTCAGTCATGCAACCCAACCATCAGCAAGTCGGCTTCATATACGCACTGGGGCAGAAACAGACAGTAGGGAGAGTACTCTCATCTCGCCTCATTCTGACTTGCATCCTTCGAGGAAGGGGTTCGTCTAAAGGTCGAGCTCCGTAGGCTTTCGGCATGCTGCATGACATGACACACAAACGATAGAAGAAGGAAAAGTTCGGGAGTTGAAATTATGGTTGCTCGAATACCCTTCACACACACCCGCTATCACGCGATCTCATGGGCCCCAGAATGTAAGAAAAGAAGCTGCCAAGAGACGCACCACGCACGAGGGCCGCCGAGGAACACTGGTGACCGCCACTGCGTGTACCACTGCCGGCCGGTGGTCAGGGGCGATGGCTGTCGGCCCCAAGGAAACGTCTGTTTCGTGCAGGCGCTGTCTGATGAGCCGTGTCCTAATGCCGAGGGGATCCGACAGGGGCGACAGGGGCGTGTACAGCAGCGGGTCAATGATGACAAGCAGCGGCCGTTGACGGGACGAAACATCCTGTGAGGTCGGAGACTCCAAGCCTTGCAGTGAGACGGATGCTGATGCTGCTGACGCAGGTGATGGGTCTGCCTGCTGCTGGGAGTCGTGATGCTGTTGTTGAACATGTGGCTTGGTGGGCGATCCTGGAGCCGTCGTTGGTATGGCTGTTTCCCTACGGTAGCGGCGATGATCGTGCTGGAGCTTCTTGAGGAATCTTTTTTTGGCCTGTTCCGTCAGAGCGCGCAGTGCCACCGCCCACCCATCGCGCTCTTGACGGCACAGGAACTTGAGATCAACCATTGTCTGACGGGAGGCCACTGGGGCGCCGCACAACAACACCTGCGCCACCCACCACAAAGGCACCGATGGCCACCAATATATTGGCAAGTGGTTGTGGTTGGTGTCAGGTACATTTGTGTAGCGTACCAGTCGCAGAGTCCAGCCCCAGTCCCACGGGTCGAGGAGCTCACTGTCGATCAGGGCGACGGACTCAACAGCAAGGAGAAGCAGCCGACCCTGAAGCAAGGCACGAAACGGGGTAGGTTGGAGGAGGAGGAAGGAGGGCCGCACAGGTGTACAGCGGAACACGCGACACTAGCTGGATCTCACCGACCTCCGACAGCATGTCATCCTCGTGGCGGTAGAAGAAGATCTGACCGCTATGAACTGAAACCCACCGCCTGTTCCAGCTGCAGCAATAAAAGTGCGAACAGGGCATCGACTTTCTCGTGGGTCTGTCCAGTGCGTGCACTCCGCGCACCCCTCACCCAGATTGCCAGGCCCGTACGTCTCCGGCGAGCTCGCCTCCCCTCGACATCATCTGCAAGGCCGCTAACGCCGAGGGGTCAAGGCATTTGGCAGCATCTTGTGCAGTCTCCTCGTCATAGCCATCAGCCACGATGCCAGCAGGATGGAGGCCCCTCTTCCATGCGTAGCCCCGCAGCGGAGGAGAGGTCACTTGGGCCCCTCGATGGTGGCGGAAGCACGGCGACTTTGTCCCTGCATCCTCAGTCGCAACGCTGCTGGCCGCGATGCTAGTCTTGACAGTCTGACATACATCGCCGCATTGTTGCAGCACGGACTGGGCCGAGGAGCTGACCGCTGACACCACTGAGGCGTCCATCAGGTGTCGCGCATTGGCAGCAGTGTCCCGAAGGGGCTGCTGCAGGTAATGATGGTGACCCGGACCATTGAAATGACACCTTGACGGAGCGCTCGCTTCGCTGTCGTCGCTCTCCCGGTGTTCGAGGGATGGCTCGGCATGAGCCGACCGTGGCTCATGTCTATCAGCCTGCGCAGCTGTGATGCAGATAGACGGTGGACCGGGCCACCCAGGTTCCCCAGTGGAGTAGCGGCAGGAAGAGTTGCTGGCCAGCGAAGAAGGCGACGACTCGCGACCACCCGCACCATGGTGGCGGTGGTGGTGCTCGTGACGACGACGTATCCTCTTGTCGTTCCCTCTGCATGAGGGCTCGTAATCACTAGCGCTGACGGCCCCCTCATCTTCATCACTTGTCTCGTCGGCCCGCGGCTCCCCTGAGAGCCGTCTGCCACTGGACTCGCCGCTGTGCCGCCTCTTGTTTCCCGCAGCCCCGGGGCCCGTTGTGGGCCCTCCGTCCTCTCTCTTCCACCACATGAGGTTGGTCCATAGGTTGGAGATCCTCGTAGGGATCCCATCCAGCTGTAGACCTGCATCATCCGCATCGGTGTCACGACGCAAGAAGGCCGACGTCAGCGAAAATGACGGCATCGCAGGCAGAGACAGCCGACTGAGGCCGTCGTGCAGGCTCGAAACGATGTTTCTGCCGCTCCCGCCGTCGCCAGGAGGATCCACAGCTTCCGAACTGGACCACGCAGCTGTGTCACGTCTGAGCGACGGTTTGCAACGCGCAACGCAGTTCCTGTGGTGGGTGGCATCAGCGTCAAGCAGCAGCAGACGAGTGTCAGATGCTGATCGCCTCAGAGGCCTTGACGCTGGCCCTGCCCTTCCCTGTGCCGGGCATGCCGCAGGAAGGGAGCTGGCAGACATCGCCCTCGATCGCTCCTCCCGTCCTGTTGGAGGGGATAGCATCAGACTCGGCACTTGACCTGGTGCCGGACACTCGCTCGACACATCCTGGTCGAAGCACACAATAGCAGACACACTTCATGGTGGCGATCGCTTGAAGCATCTATGTCATCCTCCTACCCTCCCACGTACCTGATGTAGCTTTTCGGTGCCTTGCTCATTCTCGCGCCGTGCTGTCAGTGCTCTTCGCAAGTCGCCAGTGTGGTGCCTGGTTGTGAGAGTGGGAGAGAGCGCATCGTGGACCCTTCTGGGAGCATTGCCTTTGGGAACCATCCCCATCGAGATGCGGTGAGCCATGTCTTCAGAGGCAGCGATGTCGCTGAAGTGGGCCATGCACTCCTTGATTATCTCATTCCTCACCCTCCTGCACAAGGACCACACAACACCACCACCAGACCAACAGGCAATCCTTGCTGCCTGTGTTGTGGGTCTGTCAGTATGCCATGTATGCACATCTGTGTGTGATGCGTCAGTGCAGGTCTTGCCTGCCGAGATCCAGCCGCAGCTTGAGGATGCGTCGGACCACCCCCACGTCGAAGTGCGGGCCATATTTCCGGCGAAAGTCGGGCAGGCACAGCAACAACAGCTGGGCGTTCCCGCAGAGAAGCTGTTTCAAGTCATGAAACGGCACAAGGTGACCCTCCAAAGATCTGACAGAGAGATGCACACACATAGGCAATATCCGGCTTCCATCCAGATCTACGGCCTCACCCCGGCGATAGGAACGCCCCGAAGAAGCTGTATAGATGTTTTTCGTCGAGTATGAGCCGATCGGTCAGCTTGTCTTGCAGCCGCGGACTCATCGCCCTGCAGTCATCCATCCCACACAGCCAGCCACATGAAAGGAATCAGATGCCTGCCTGCACCTGTCTCTTGCCCTGCCTACCTTGAAGGGTTCTTCCCGTACAGCAGTTTGTGTGTATAAGCGGCCACAATGAGGCGCAGGATCTCCTCTGCCACCTTGGTGAGGCTGCTCTTGCGCAGGTCGGCCCCGACAGCGGTAAAGATCGGCGTGAGGTGGACCTGCTGCAGACTCGGAAGGTTGACATCGAGCACGCTTCTTCTCCTGCCAACGTCGACAAGGACAGGCCCCACGATCCTCTGCACAAGCACGCCCCCCAGCCGTTCACCCAAACTCGCGAAACGGGATATCTCCTCGTCCAGGCGGAAGCACGGAGGTCGGCCGACAACCCTCCTGGACCTGTGCCGGCTGCCCATGCTTCGAGACAGTGGCAGACACTCCCAACAGTCCTCCAGCCTGAGTGAAACCACCAACCAACTGCAGCCCCCTGCCTCGTCCGAGAGTCAGTGTCTGTGCTCCGTGCTATTCTGTCATAATGATGCGCCATAGTGATGCGGCTAGCCTATGTCGCATCCATTTTGTTGTACCTCGGGCGTCGCCAGTCGAAGGGCTGGCTGCTTGCATCCTGGTCAGGTTGGGGGAGAGGAGGCCCGAGGGGCCGTTGCAAATGCTCCAGACATCGCCGTCCTCCACCATTAGCCCACGTCGCCTTGCGTAGCTCGCCACACGCCTTGATATGTTGGTGGACGAGACTAGATAAGATGTCGATCGTCTCATGACAGCTCTGAACGAAGAGCGCAACGTTGTTAATCTGGGCGCAGAGGGCCTCGCTGGACACAATGTCCATTCGGAAAAGGCTGGACAGAACAGTGCTGCCGCTGCTTTGGTCGAAGCAGCGTGGTCCGACGCAAGGTGGGTCCGCCTGCAGGAAGGCCGTCTCCATGAGCGTCACGTAGCCGGTAAGAAGGACCCTCGTGACTTCCACCACCTTCTGTGTCAATGCAGGCACGAGTAGCTGCCGGGCAATGTCCAGTTGCTCCAGGATGACTCGAAAAATGTCCACAGGAGCCGATGTGTGCGCCCATCCTGCTCTCTCGTCTCGCAGCAAGGAAGGCAGCCTCTCCTCGCCCAGACGTGGCCCCACAGCTGCGTCTCCCCTCCGTTCCTCTGGCTTGCTGCGTGCTGGCACGATCTCGGGCTCGCTTCTGAAGGTCCTGATCCGGCCGAGACTCCCTTCCTGGAGGTGTCGCGCATGCCCACCTCCCCTGTCGAGCCTTTCGTCTGGCACTTCCATCCATCGTTCATCCAGGAGGGAAGGGACGGCTGACGACCGACTCCACTCGTTGCCAGGGCCGAAGGACAGCGAGGAGGAGTAAAGGCTAGAAGTGTCGGGATGACGACCGAGCCATAGCTCGTTCCTCATGATGTTAAGCAGGAGGTCTTGGGCGTTGAGTCCCACCCGTATCCCGTATGCATGTGCCAGAGCTTCCACTATGTCGTCCATCACCTCGTCCGCCACGCCGCCCCGCTCCAACGCGACTTGAAGACCACTCACTCGACGGAGAAAGTGCAGGATGATATGAGGGCTCGGGCGTCGGGCCGCCAACGTAGCTGTAATACGCCGAGAGGGAGCCTCGAGGTCGAGATGACCGCTGCTTCTCAGGCTGCTGTGTGGTCGTGATTCATCGGCGTAAGTGGCGGTAATGTGTGTCCACAGAGACCCGATGACGGTGTAGATGCGATGGCAGTACTCATCAATAACGAAACCCGTGATAGATTGCAGGTACGCTTCAGGCAGCCGCTCCACCCGTCTTCGCATCTCGGTTGGGCCACCGCCGGTAGACTCCACAGCAGCGCCATCGGACACTTGACGAGCTGGGCGTGCAGCTTCGTCATCAAGACCGCCAGTGGACGTCGAGACCGCTGCACCCTCCACCCCACTCAGGCAGCGTCCAATCGACCTCTCAAGCACCCCCACGCCAGACGAGGCGAATTCATCCAGTAAGTCAAACGCCTGCACACACACACGCCGCACCCATTCGGCACGAAGGACGATAACTAATGATCTTCACAGAGGCAATGCAGGTCACCTCGTCGAGCGTCAGTGTGGCCGCAAGTTTGTTGGTAAGCGCCGCGTTGTCCGCACCGGACACGTCATCCTCGTCGAGGGCCTGTGAGCAAGACACAGCAACGACAAAGAAGGAAGTCGCGTTTCCACCGACTGACTTACGCGTGCTAGCAGACAGCGGAGTTGGCCTTCAACAGCCCGCTTCGCTTGGCTCGCGTGTCCATCAAGCAACGTTGCCAGGACATCTTCTTCTCTCTGCTCATGCTTCATTGTTCATCGTTGGAAACATGTTCTTCTACTTTCTCGTGGCCAGATCAAGAAGCGAAGCACATGGGCTCATGTTTCATTGCACCGACTGACCACGGGAGTTAGAGCACACTGTGTGAAATCTGCAGAGTGATCATTTTCCCCTATAGAAGAAGGGCACACTGAGTGATCCTGATAATTATCGTGGTATTCACTTACTGTCTGTATTCATGAAGCTGTATGGTAATGTGCTTCAGCCATTGCTGCTGCAGCAAGCCAAGGTATGCCCTGAACAGGCAGGATTTCGTACGGATCACTCCACTATCGGGCATTGTTTTGTGTTAGCCACACTCATCGAACGTGCCAAGCGAGCGGGCTCTCCATTCTATGTGTGCTTTGTGGATTTTCGTAAAGCCTTCGACTCGATCAATCGCCG